GTCTAATTTCCCAACCACTATTCCTTCCTCTTTGTTTTCAAATTTTGCATTCCAATTACCAATAATTATGAATGCATCTTGATTTCATGTTTGATCCATTTCAGACTGCAGATATTGGTAAAATTCTTCAATTTCTGCATCACTGGCTTTAGTGGTTGGTACATAAATTTGAATAATAGTTGTATTGACTGGATTTCCTTATATGCAGATAGATATAATCTTATTACAGACAGCACCGTATTTCAAGATCTTGAAATGTTTTTATTGATGATGAACGTGATGCCATTCCTCTTGAATTTGTCATTCCTGGCATAGTCCACCTAATGAGTGTCTGTTTCAGAATGGCCAATACCACTCCATTACAGCTCACTAATGACTAAGATATTGATCTTTATGTGTTCCGTTTGGTTTTTGATGACTTCCAGTTGTCCTAGATTCATAGTTTGTACATTCCAAGTTCAAGTTGTTCATAGATGTTTGTAGCTGTTTTTTTCTTATTTGAGGTCTTTCATTTTAGAAGAACTTAATTTAGTAATAATTTACACTTACACTGTTTTCTTTCTCATTATTGCACTTTTGCCCTTTTTTAGGAAACATAATTTCATTTAAATACTACTTTTCTTAGTGGAAACACACAAGGACACCTGCAGTGAATGTGACTTCGTTTGTAAATTCCTTTTGTGCAGTGTTACTTCATGACTGTGTACTGACAATGTTTTCTACTCATAAATGTCTTACTCTGTATGTTTCTCCCAGTATGAGTTGATCTAATGCTTAAAGTGGATTTATTATATGCCTCTCTTCCTTGAACTGGAACTTTATAAAAAGAGAAAGCTCTCCTCTCCAAATTGGAACCCATAAACAAACCAGTTCACATAAATAGCATTCCTTTTACATATAGCTATAGCTATTCATTTCTCTAATGCCAACTATTGAGAATACATCTTAGGGAAAGAGTTTATGGAGAACGTTCTGGCTTTGCCTTAACAGTGGAGATGGAAAGGTCTTTTGATGTCTGTGATGTAGCATTCTGCATAGTAATGACCTTAAATGATCATTTCCCTCCTCATAGCCATGGCATTTAGAGTTCTCTGAATGTAAAGTTTTATGTAATTGGTTCAAAGCATTGGTCTTTGGTCTTCCCACTAAAGATAACACCATGTGCATGGGGTGGTGTAGGCTGCTAGGTGATTTGGAGCCATTTCCAGGGTGTGGTTATGTGTTGTGGGTACCATGTGCCATCTTTGTGGACTGTAACTCCGGATGGTTCCAGAATTAGTGAAAGAAAACACATTTCTAACTCATTGTTCCTTTCTATGCACTCATCAGAGAAAAGGAGTGACATTCCTTTCTGTGAACCATTATGAAATGATTCCCTTCAAGTTGATCAGGCCTACTCACAGGTTTCAAAATCTGTGAGCCGTGCAAAGACTAATTTTCTAGATGCATCGCCCAGGCTGGTTGGTCTTATGATATAGACTTTGAGACTCTGTTCAAATATGTCTACCTACCTAGTTATTCTTTCCATATTCCTTCAATTACCTATTCCCGTAACTGTTGGAGTAAAATCTAATGATAATTGCTGTCATATACCAGCAGTTTTCAAGTACTGAATGATCTTTAGTAT